ATGAAATGTGCAGAGATGGGACCGGCCCGTCGCCACCACGTGTTGCTACACGTTCCACTCCTGGGAATGGCTTAGAAACGTCCGACCTGACCAGGTCGTGGACAGAGAAGCCTGGAGGCTAAGGGTTCCCGGAGGGAGAAGAAGTCCGGACCCTCCAGGGTGTTTGTAAGACGGCGCCAGAACCCTGCCTCCCGCTTCAGCTCGGGGCTCCGCGCGGCCAGGGCTTCCCCGAGGGTGGTTGTAGCCTCTCAGGAACAGGATCCTCTCACCCGGAGAGTGACGGGGGCAGCCCACCCCCTCCCTCCGAGGATGCCCCTCACTCTCTCTACTCTCCCCGGGCTCCCAGCTGGACACCGACGCTCGGATCCACAGACCGGTGACCTGCAGCACCAGGCGGGAGGCACCGGCCTGCGCTGGGCCCCGCGCAGTGTGCGCCGGGAATGCTGCGACCCCGCGGGATTCAGACACCTGGGTTCCCTCCCCGGGATGGAGGTACACAGACCCCGGCGTTTTTACATTGTTGCCATTGAGCACCATGCTGCTGTTTTGATTCCGCCATGTAAATAAAAGTGAACGACGGCGAGTTCCTACTGGCAGCCAGCTTTGCAAGTGCTGTTTAGTCAGGGGGCACGTAGCCAGGAGCTGGGCCGAGTTGAATCTCTTTCTCTCCATCTCTCTAATTTTTCTCTGTCTCTTGACCTCACACCACCCCTTATTAGATACGAAGTTTACAATAAGAACATGCTCGATTCTTTCCTGGGTCACAATACGTACACGAAACAATGGGGCGCTGCTTTTTGAAACTGGAATCTTTGGGGATCACTCGCCTCCTTCACTTTCCTTTCCTATCTAGAACTTGATAATGCAGTGCCGGGGGATGTGAGAAGTCGCTGGTGGCCCAGGCGCGGGCCCAGATGGGGAGACTGGAGTCTCCGGAGGCGAGAAAAAGTTTCTGTTGTAACGAAGTGAGAGGCAGAGGGGCCCCAGCACCCGGGCCAGGGCCGGGTCACCAGGCACTACCCTCCTGCCGCCACCTCGCTGGCAGAGTGGCCGGGCGCTGGGCTTAGAGTTAGACCCACAGCCCAGCAGAGCATCCTGGCCGGGGAAATGCAGCCCGTCCCCACAGCAGCTCTCTTCTTGCCCGGCTCAGCATAATTCCCGCAAGCGGAGGACTTCACCTTCTCCCGTGTCAGACCCTAAGGTCTTATTGAAGTGATGGATGGAGCCCAATCTGAAAGTTTATTCAGAAGGGTGGAGAGCGAAGAGGGGGAACCAAATAGGAGTACCATTTCTTTAATCTCAGAAGTGAATAATAAAAGTGGCAAAAGATAAATAAAAAATGTTAAAACCCCTCAAACTCCAGCTTCCGCTGCTCCTTTTAAAAGGCCAGCGCTTTGGGAATGCAGGTTACCAAAGCGGCTTCAGCCCTCCCAGCTTTTCCTGCTTGGACTCCTGTGAGTGCGTTGTCACTTAGAGCCAAACTCCATCAATGGGTGGTGCCGCTCAAGTTTTATTCTTGAGCCAGTTGTTTCTGTTTTATTTGCGAATTAAGTTTGGACTTAATGACCTCATCCAAATTGCTGTAGTGACTACCCCCCACACACACACGCCAACAGTGTGTTACTTTAACATCCTGCAATTCCAAAATTGTGCAAGGGTCTTCCTTCTTACATACACAGCTCAACCCTTCGGAAATTTAAAGACCCACCAGGGATGGAAGAGATTGGGAGAGAATAAGGAAACCACCTTCCAACTCCTAACCCTTAGCATCCCATCACTTCAGCCAGAAAACAGGACATCTTCATCTTCCAGAACAACCTTGCAGTTGAGGGCATGGGCTAGAGTTTCGGAGACCATACTTCAGTATCTAAAAACTCCAGCTCAATTTTGGCGATCCCCGTGAAAACTCAAAACAAATAACAGCAATCAAAGGGGAGAAAAGTTTCTTTTTTAAAAGCTCACTGCTCTCATGTCTAAACATTACTCGAGAGATAAATATTTCTATTAAGTTGATTCCATTCCCAGCGCATTATGCAAAACTATAAATGATAATGATCGAGGGGGGACTCAGGAATGGAAAGAAAGGTAAAAGAGCAAGCTGGAGATGGCAAAGACGGAAGAGGACGCTCCTTCGGCCTACAAGGGGATTAAGGACATCTATAGGCTTAAGGAGCAACAAATTAATTTGCACAATTCTGGGAGAGCCCAGATGGCCTTTAATTAATCCCTTCAAAAGAAGGAGCTGGGCCAGGGCTGCGACGGCTGCCTGCTCCATTAGCTCCATTTTACAAGGGACCAGACTCTGTTCGAGGTGAGGCGCCCCGAGCTCGTGGGGGAAGGGGGTAGGGTGACGCGAGCGGGAGAGGGGGGAGGCGCGGGAAGAATATGAACTGTTTTTCCATAAAAGGGCTGCGTTTTCATTATTCTTCTCTTTAAAAAGTAATACCCTCCTCGTCTTGGCTCCCCCCTCCCCTTTCCCATTTTATTTAACACAATTAATTGAGGCGTCCACTGGTGCCCAGTTGGATCCGCACCACTCTCAGGCACCGCCCCCTGGCCCCACCCACAAGAGGGATGGAGGTGAGAGGGGCGGGGACCAGGAGGGCGTGGCCTTTCGGCTCCCCCGGCTTCAGCCAATCAGAAGGAGAGGCGCTCCCGAGTGGACGCACCCCAGAGGCAATGCAATGCCGAAGGCTGAGCGCTATTGGAGACGGTGGTTACGCCCCCGGCCGGCACCCAGCTCGTCGGCCACGCCCCTCCCGGTGCTGCGGAGTGACGTCCCCCAAAGTTCTTATTTTGGACCCCCACTCCCCCCAGCCTCTGGTCCCCCCTCTAAAGAGGGGTAGGGAGTGATGCAAATGTTTTATTACCTTTGAGAGCTTCATCTGAACTGTCAGGCCCGGAGGGAAAGAGGAGAGGAGAGAGAGTGGAGAGCGGCGGAGAGGGTCAGCTTGGCCAGAGGACAGGACTTAGAAGCGAAGCCTGTAAAGCCGCGAAGAAAATGCGAGAGAGAGGCAAAGGCGACGAGTGAGAGGAAACGAGGACGCCGGGGGGTGGGGCGGGGGTCGCCAGGCCTGTTTGCAGAAGTGGACAGGCGCGCAGAGCCCTAACCGAGGCCATCAGACTTTTCACACGTAGTCTTTGTTTTTCTGTGTTTTTCCTCCTCCCCTCTGTCTTTTTCAATATTGTAACTCTAGTGCCCTGTCGCCCAGAGGGAAAGGCGAGTCGGGCGAGTCGGCGCGCCGAATCCGGGAGCCGTGGGGATCGAGGCACTGCCCTTTCTGCCCA